GAAGCCTCCTGCCCTGGATGGGAGTGTCACTCCATTCTCTTAATGGTGTCTTTTTATGAAAAGAAGTCTTACATTTTAACTCTTCCAGTCTGTCCATTTGTTCTTTACATGTAACCTTTCTTCCTGTTCTTTTAGGAAAATGTTGCCTGTTCCAAATTTATGGACCTTAACCCTTCCAACTTTATTGAAATGAATCTTTTGGTTCCTAGCCTTCTGTAAATCCCAAATCCTGTGAAAACCTGACAAGATCATGTGTGTTGAATGGTATAGCCATAGACAGATCTCATGAAAATCTGACACTCTGGCCCCTCCATGTGGAAGCACACATAAACACTCACACAGTAGACCACCTACTGCTTCAGGAAGCTCAGACTGACAGCCAGGACTGTCTGTGGACCCTTTCTTAGCTAGGGTAGCATTTTACAGATGAGGACATTGAGGCCCAGACAGGAGCCTCACACCACTTACAGTCCAGCAGAATTTCTTTGTCTCATTGTTCTCCAGTGCTCCTTCTATCGAAGTTTCCTCTGCAGTCTTTCTGAGAATAAATACCTTGCTAACAGAACCAAAGAAGAGAGTGTTTTTAGTCAAGGGAGGTTTCTAATCCACTCAGCAGCTTAAAGTTGGCACCCAGTGCTGCTCAGCCACATTAAGTATTTACCTTAAAGGGTTCTAACTCCCAGGAGCCTGTGACTAAGTTTTCTGAAGGTGAGCTGGGAATGCTCCTGGCCTCGCATCTGCCTCCAGCCGTGACTCAGCACCCTGGGTGGCTGCACTGAATCTTGCATCTGCAACTGCCTGGATTCTGCTCCTTCTGGTTGGTTCTGTTGGAATTTTTTAAAGCACCTTATGTAATAAGTTCCCAACCTCAATGCTCAAGTGGGTGAGGTTACGAGAGTGGTTGCTTCAGGGATCAAATTAAGAGGGGTGGGGATAGTGAAAGGAGCTCTGAGTTTCTTGGCTAGGTTGCATCAAGCCAAGCACACCAATCCAGATACACTCATTAATGATTTTACTGGTCCCCTGCCTTTCTCCCTGTCACTGCCTGCAGTAACCACAGGTTCCAAGGAGGCAAGGCAGCCTACAGGCAACAGGGCCAGATGTTTCAAAAAGTCACTCAGACTCCAATGCCTGGAGTCTCTAGAAAGAATCTTGTCGCCTTGTCAGTGTGCTTACCAAGCCCACTACTTGAAGTGTGCATTTCCAACCAATAGCACAGATCACAGCATGCAGCTCAGAAAGGAAAAGGCTTCGGATTTTTAGGCCACACCCTACAACACTGAATGATCTCACCCTCAACACTAAGGAAGTCAAGCCCATAGTAACGTCCATAGGTAGGAGTTGAAAGAATACCATCCTGTTTATTTTATCCCATTTTACGTTTCCTATAAGCCTCTGGTCTCTTGTACGTAGGATGTAGTCAGCAGGGCTGTTAGAGGACCAGCCTTCTAAATGAGGCACATTCAATCTGATGCTTCAGCAGAATCTGCTGAGCACCTATTTCGTGTTGCTAGGTACTAGGTCCTGCAACTGGTGATGGGAATACAGAGGGGACAAAGGCAAAATCTTTGTCCTCAAGGAGGTGTCCATCTAGGCAGAGGGGTGAGCGAGTCAGCTAACAAACTCTATATAGTATGGTAGATGGCAAGTGAGCCCTGTGTGTGACAACACACACATGACAAGGGCACATCCACTAAGCAGAAAGTAGTGGGAACAGCATTAGTTATAGGCAGACAGGTGGCGTGTGTGGGTACAGAAGCAGTGAGCTGCACTGGGTGAGATGCAGGTACTGTAGAAAGAAAGGGAGTCCTGCCACATCAGAGTCTTCTGCATTCTACCTTTGTCCTTCTAAAAGACCTGTAAAATTCAAAGGCTGTCAGCATCCTCCTAACTTAGAAGACTTGCCTATCCCAGGAACTCAGGTTCCATGAGCATCACAGTACTGTGCAACAGAGGCCCAGGTCTGAATATGCCACACATCACTCTTGGCCTTTAATAGCTTTCAGCTCCCAGGTCTTCTAGAACGCCTGTTCAACCTGTCCCAAAGTCTGTAGTCAGAGTGATGGAACTCCAGCTGTAGATCCATGGACCGCCTCTATGTGCTCAGCCACTCTTATTTTGTCTTTCAGGTATGAAGAAATCAGTGGTTTATAGTGCTCGAAAACTACACAAAATGTGGAGAGGATGGCTGAGGAAAGCACCCTGACTTTGCCTGTTTTTGTTATGTATAGATTCATAATAAAGTGCTTGATCCTTTTTGATACAATGGTGTTTGGTCACTCTGACCCATTTCTTAAATTTGAAGAGATTAAATGTGATTTTAAAGATGCACACATCAGGCACTCATCCAGCTGGGCCATCTCTCCAGCCCCTAAAATCTCTCTTAAAAAGGAAAAAAGAAAAGAAAACAGCCAGGTGTGGTGGTACAAGCCCATCATCCCAGGAAACAGGCAGGAAGATCATGAGTTCAAGGCCACCCTGTGCTATATAGTAAGACCCTGTCCTGTAAAAGAAAGGGGAGAGGGGAAGAAATGAAGGAAGGAAGACTGTTTTCCACAGCCTCTAATAGGCTTCTGCTGTTTGCATTGGTGTGACCTGCCTGTTCCCAAGCCAGTAAGTGACCAAAAGATGGAACCATCCTTGTTAGCTCAGGCCTGAGCTGCTAATCCTACCACAAGAGGCAGCTTTCTCCCAAGCTCAGGGGTGACAGGACAGGAGGAGGAATACTAGAAAGCCACCGTCTCGTCTACCATGTCCTATCTGTTCATTCAAGCCTTAGGGTCTATCTCTCATATCATCTTGGTCCACCATACACTATTTCCATTTCTCAGTGCTCTGCAGACCCTCAGGATCTGTTGTACATCCTAATAGCATATTTTGTTTTCTACCTTTCAGTTCAGCCATTCCAACCTAAATTGGAAGCTTATTGGCATATGAGCCAGCCAGGTTGAAAGCAGCTTCACTGCCAGCTGTCGGACTTTAGGCAAGTTAGTCTCTGTGGACAGTGTCACCATCTGTGAAATGGAGATAGCGTTACACAGTTCCCTGAGGGATTCTCCTTAGTACTGTAGGCCCATGTGTTTCTTCATTCAGCAGTGGTCACTACTATCACTTTCATATTGTGACTTCTATTATCATTTTCCTCAAGAAGCTAATCTGATCCCCCAGTGCTTATGGGAAAAATAAGAACCTCCTATTAGGCTAGTCAAGACCCTCTCTACTTGAGTTTTATTTACCTTCTATCCCTGTGTATGCAGCCTTTCTGTTGTTTTTAATTTTTTATTGAATTTTTATGTATTTCATACAGAAAGTCTTAATCATCTTTATACTCCTTTTCCCCATTGGCACCTCCCATATCCTCCCCACTGGAATTCATACATACTGTCATTTGTGTTAAGGCCTATAGTGTCAAGTTAGTGTCCCCAGACATCCTTCAATGCAAGTTCATCTACTGGAGTCTAGTCAGCATGCACAAGACCTATGCAAATTCAAGCAGACAAAACCCTAGCACAGAACTGTGGAAATGGACATCAAGTCCCAATCTTAGTTGGTACAGCCTTTTATATCTCACATTAAATACTTGGCAAAGTAACTACTCAATAGAACATTAGATTCATTCTCTAACGTGAAGCCTGAGGTCTCTGAAAAGGAAGATACTGCCTGGGATCATGACACAGGTGAGTAACACAGTGGAGATTCCTGCCCAGGCCTCCAGACCACTGTCCCATGCCTTTTCTACACAGCCTGCAGTCTCATAAGTAGTGACTGTGAGTCTGCCTGCTCCCCTTACCCTGCAGTCTTACCTTCCTGTTCTCGGTGTGTTTTGAGAGACAGATTTCTATCTATGTTGGGATTCATCAAACAGATCTAAGGATGGAAGACAGAGCTTCCTCTGAGGAAAATGGAACTTGGGCCAGTAAGTCGTGCTTTCCAGAAGACCCAAAAAAATGAATGTACATCAGAGTGGTATGTAGAGTTGGATCCCAGCTCTGCCTCTTTCCAGCTGTGTCCTTAGGCAAGGCGTTTAACCCCTCGGAACCACAGTTTCCACATCCGGTACTGCCATCCTCATGCTCACCTGTCAGGGTTGGTGTCAGAATTAAATGTGATGTAAAGTATGTAGCATGCTTCTGAGCACAAAGTATTCCTACAGTGTCCCTGCTAAACTGTTCAGATAGTGAGTTTGGATAACTGAAAATAAAACTGCATGTGTCTGTCAAAGTCTTGTCAAGAAAATAAAAACATTCCCTAGATACACCTAATAGAGTTTGATACAGAGCACTATTCTAAAGCATTGGAGGGCCTAATAAGCAAAGAAGTAGCATCCTGGAGGAAGAAGGGGTAGGACGTGCGGAAGTCAGGAAGCTGCCAGCCCCTTCGGACTGGAACCTCAGGTCCATGCCTGCTGCTGTGTTGGAGATGCTATGCTGCCTGTGGTAGTTTCAAATTTTTTTGGCCCTCCTATCATCAGTGGGTAGAATCTAATTCTCTTTCTTGAACATGAGCTGGCTTTAGTGACACATCTAACAGATAAAATGCAGTGAACAAGATGTTACGTGACTTTGGAAGCCAGATCCTAAAAGACAACACAGCTTCCACCTGGCTCTCTGAATATTTGCTGCCATGTTGTGAGGAGGCATGGGGCATTTGCAGAGCCAAAGGGAGTGAGTGAGCAAATCTTTGTGCTACCCCAGCCACGGCCACTCTGCCCACCCGAGCCCGGTCAATTCTAGTCCAAGGGAGAAAGAGCAACTATTCAGAAGGTTGAAGAGACTTATATACTATAATAGATAACAAGGACAGTGCTCTGCCGCTGCAGAAGATGCTAAAGAAATGATGCCACTGCCAGATGCCACTTGGCGGCCATCAGAATCGCTGCTGCTGCTATTGGAGTTAGGCCAGGGACCTCTCTCTTCCTCCCACCTTCTAATTTCCTGCTCTGTGTCCCCAGTGGGCAAAACTAATGGAAATCTGGCTGCTAAGAAAGTCTTGAGAATGTAGTTTGCAGGCTCTGACCAGGAAGAGCAGAATGGAGTGGAGAGGAATGGGTATGGACCAGGCTCACCAGATAACAACTGGCATGCTCTATCTACTCGTGGGGTGATGGAGAGTCTACTATGCCTTTCAGTCCACATCAAGGTGTCTGTCCAACAACAGCTGCAGCCAACAGCTTCCACTGAGAAAGATGCAACTTCAAGGAAAATACACTGTCTCTCTGGCAGGAAGACGCCGACATACAGATTCTTAGAGCCATCACATCCTTCTCTCAGGGATGGTAATTCCTCTGGTAATTACAACCCTACCTGGATGTTGGTTAACCTGGACACTAACCTATAAAGTTAACCACCATTCACACTCATTGTAGAAAATACGCTAAGGAAGAGGGCTAATACACATGTGCAAGAGAGAGGGTGAGAACACACATAGTAGCAAGTAAGGAAGAAACTGTGCCTTGTTGGTCATGTGATCAGATCAGGTACTTTCTTCCTGGGCTGTGTTGCTGTTGTTTTTAGCCTGTTCTTCAGTTAGGCAGAGTTCCTGACCCTCACTGCTGAAGAGCTGTCCTTGGTAGTCCTGCCACTGAACATGGCTCCCGGGTCTACCTTGAGCCATGAGACTGATTAGTGTTTACTATTCAAGGCAACATTTCTCACATTAACTTATCCTCACAGCAACCCTATAAGGCAAGTGCTACTTCTATTCTAACTTGACACTTGAGGAACTGAGGCTCAAAGAGGTTAAGTAATTGACCCAGAGTCTCACAGTTAAGTGATGGAGACTCAGTTCAAAGCCAACGCCTTTGAATTATGTGATTTCAGTGAATACCTTAATAGCTGTCTACTGTAGCTGAGCAGGCAATAGGGGCTCTGCAAATGACCCTGTAACTGTTGCTGTTATTTCTCCTAGACACCTGTCTTTTGGAATCACAAATCTTTTACTCCCTATTCTAAAAAACAACCCATTGGAGCAGTCCTGGCAAAAAGAAGGCTACCTTCCAGATTCCTAGTAGAATTCCTTAAAACAGTGCTTTAGAACTTACAGCTGTCATTGTAAAGAATCTGAGGTTCAAAAGTATTGAGTCCTGTCAGCCAAGCATAACCTTCCCCTTTGTTAATTAGGTGACCTTGAGGAAAACCTTGGATTTAGTGACCAAAGAAATAATCAAACCCCAGCTGAGCTCAGCTGCAAATCAGCCTGGTGACACTGGGCCCTGTTGTGAGGGGCTGGTGGCTCAGCGTCTTCATGGTTGCTCAGGAAGATCAGCTTTTGGGAGACCAGAGGGGGTGGAAACAGCTTGGCAAGAAACAAAAAACAGTGGGCAGAGCCCACACTGATGGCTGACTCTGCTCACAGACATGACAGTAGCATCCAGGTGACCCACATGAGAATCAAAGTAGCCATTCATACAGTGGGGGCCCCTTACCTCCGTCATACACACAGAACTTTCTTGACATCATTCTAGCTCTATGGGGAAAGGAGTCTGTACAAGGAGAGTGGGGCTGGGGGGATGGCTCAATGGGTAAAGTGTTTCTGTACAAGCATGAAGACCTGAGTTCAGATCCTCAGCATCCACTTCTAGAACCCCAGTTCCGGGGACCAGAGGCAGACAGATCCCCAGAGTTTGTTGGGCAGTCAGTCTTGCTGAATCACTGAGCTCCAAGTTTGGCAAAAGACCCTGTCTCAAAAATAAATAAATAAAATTAATTAATTAATTAATTAATAAAAGTGATGGGTTATTCAAGTGCTGGCCATGCGAGCTGATGATCTGAATTTGATGTTTGCTCCTTGGGGTCCATGTAAAGGTGGAGGTGGAAACTCAAGGCCACAGAACTGTCCTCTGGCTTCCACACATGTGCCATGGCACATGCCCACACACCACCCCCAAACACACACAAAATAATAAAATAAATGTTTTAAAAAGATGGAGAGTGCTAGGAGGAGTCATGCATGTCTTTAATCCTAGCACTTGGGAGGCAGAGGCAGAAGGATCTCTCTGAGATTTTGAGTTCCAGGCCATCTGGGGCTTTAAAAAAAAAATGGAGAGCACTTGAGGAAGACACCTGATATTGACCTCTAACCTCCACACCTCCATGTACATGCATACATACATGTACACACACACAAATAAGAAAACATTTAAATAGGGAAAGTAGACCTAACATTATGGGAGGTGTATCTCACCTGTGGTGTATGGTCAGCCTCATTAATCCTTACCCTAATCCTACAGCAAAAATATGATCCCTTTCTTCCTTTTTCTTTT